ATTCGGGGAGATCTCGGCGAGCGCAGTCCAACCATGTTTTCAAAAAAAAAAAAAGAAAAAAAAAAAAAGACCCACTTTTGGGCCCAACCGGTGTTCCGGTTGGGACCGGTCCGGTCCAACCGGCCGGTTGACGACACAGCCCTGTTATACTGTACACTTTATGCGTTGTAATTGATTGGCTGGATGTGAGTAGGAAGGAGGAACAAAGGGCAGAAGATTCCTCTCATAGTACTCGTGTGCAAAATGTGCCAAGGAGAGGAAGGGAGCAACCAAGCAAACAACTACGATTCAACTTCTATCTTTGATGGTTATTTCGGGTGACTCTCTTAAGTGAGCAGTAGAAGAGGAATTAGGTGAAGCATGCATAATGATGCTGTTTTCTTGCCACACCAAACCGTCCGCAATCTCTTTGATGCCAAAGATCATTCCTCTGGCCCCGTGCTGCAGCAGGACAATGTACCAACACTCTGTGACCTTCTCCTTTGCACAGCTACAGACAATGTTACACTCGGCTGTACCTGCCATCGTCTCTGTCACAATCACTACAATGACATGGTTTTCTGCAACCATGTGTGTAGAGGACTGTCCCTCCGTTCCTGACTGCAGGCACCCTCCACATCTGGACACTATATGTCCACATTGTGGCCACGGGCGCTATACTGAATGCATGGTCTTTTGTGGTGAGCGTTCTTCTTCATTTTGGCCTGCAATCGACATGCCATTTGTCGGGATTGTATGGTGGGCATGCTCAATGCCAGCCATCGTGGCAATTGTGCTGCTGCGAATACTCAGCCAGGTGTTCCATGTACCCATCCACCTCATCCTTAGAATGTGTGTCCTCTCTGTCGTCGAGGACAGACTCGTTCTCGAGTCTTTTCATACCCTCTACTTTGCCTTCATCTTCATTCCACACTCCGTACTTTCCCTTTTCTCTTCTCTTCGTATCCTGTGCTCAACGTCATCACCGTGGCGGGCCTTGCACCTGAGAGGCACGGTGAAGGGAGTTAAAGAAAAATGAATGGTTTCAGTGTGCCCCTCATCTTTTGTCTTGTTTTTTATCTTCACCGATTGTTTTGCAAAGTGCGCTCTTTTAGCTCACAGTTATGTAAAGAGGACAGTTGTTTTCAAGTCAAAAGGTGACATAAACAATTTAGCATCAGCACCCAGTCACTGGAATCCATCAAATGGCTTATATACTGTACATGGCAAACGATGAATGAAAGCCTGTGATGGCTTATACTGTACACTTTATGCGTTGTGAATGATTGGCTGGATGTGAGTAGAAAGGAGGAACAAAGGGCAGAAGATTCCTCTTGCAGTACTCATATGCAAACTGTGCCAAGGAGAGGAAGGGAGCAACCAAGCAAACAAATATGACTCAACTTCTAGCGTTGATGGTTATTTCAGGTGGCTCTCCTAAGCGAGCAGTAGAAGAGGAATTAGGAGAAGCATGCATAGAGCGCGGCAAAACTTAAGGTACATGCACAGAGACTGATTGGAAAAAAGAAAAGCAAAGCAGGTCCAGCAGAAGTTCCATCGATTGATGTTCTACAACTGGGACACCTGGTTTCTAGAAGATCATTTATTTGTCCGAGGAATAGTTGGAGAGAAACGGCACACAAGCTGAGGATGTGCGAAATTTGGTGCGTAATCTTGATTGCCGGGAAGCACAAGCACAACTGCCCATCAATCCTCTCCGTAAGTGATGACAGTGGTTCCCTTGGCCGTAACAGGAGAAACCGTCACAGTGAGAAAATTTCGGAGCCTTGCAAAAAGCAAACAAACAAACAAACAAACAAACAAACGGCAGCAAGTGCACATCACAAAAGGAACATTTGAAAGGGGCTGAGAGTTAGCACCTGCTCTCTTGCAAGCTCTGCACAAGACCGAAGTGCGGGTGATGGTGACTCCTTCAGAAGTTTCACAGAGAGCTGACGCATCCACTCGTCCCAGTCTTCCCGCATGGAAAGATTCCATGCTTCACTGGCATTCTTCAATTTGTGCACGTCCATCTACAAAGAGGTGACGGGTTTCAAGTCAAAAGACCACAGAGCAGCATCTGATTTGGCTGAGGCCCGCATGCAGTTGTAGTACAGATTCGATTCAGTCAATTCTACATGCTGGACCTCGCTACACTGAAAGGTTCCCAACCAAAGCGAATGTTCCCCAGTGTATAATTCAAAAGCCCAAAACACAAAATGCAAGAATAACAAGCAATTAATGGGGAGGAGCGTGCGTGAGTAACTGATGCATCTTCTTTTGACCTGCCGGGGAACAAGGAACCAGACTGCTGCTCCCCAGAACAGATACGGAGCCAGAACCCTGAAGTTCGGTTTCAGAAGAAGGAAAATGAATAGGAAAAAAAAAGAATAACAAGCAATTTACCAACGGGCCAAGCTAAGTTGGTACACCTATGAACTATGGAAACACAGACGTGAGTTCAAATCTAGATGGAACTAGTTGAATGAATTTCTAAATTTTTTATTTTCTATTTGTTAAAGAGCAACAGCCTTGAGATAGCATCATGGAACTGACCTGCCCTAAGTAATTCTGGATTATTTATGTTATTATGTCCTTCTGATCGCATCAGGATCAAGTGAGCTCGGCCTGTTGGCGAATGATTTTCCAAATGACCTTTAGATGAAAGCACACCAAACGCAAATTAAAAGACGAGAAAATCAAGCATGATAAAGAAGGGTGCAAATGAGAGCAAAGTCGAAGAAGCCAACTACACATCCAACAAACCAAAGCAGAAACCTAGGTAGTCAAGTTCAAACTTCAAAGTTTATTCCAAAGCCTGTGTGAACAGATTTGGATGATGACCGGAGCACGGCATCATCACTGCAAATGTACACAAGCAAAAGGCTGCCGTACATCCAAATTTGCTGGTCCGTGCGGAAGTGTTTTATAATGGAAGCAAGAGATAATAAAAAGAGCACAGGAAGGCAAAAGAAAGCCATGGCTGAGGGCATATACAAATCAATTCAATATTTTCAGAACAGGAAGTCTGCAGAACACGACAGCATACCACAGTCAGTTGTGGAGTGATGACCATTCACACTCATGCGTTTCAATCACTACATACCTTGAGTGGGGGAACGGATTCCTCCAGATCTTCAACAGGACCTCCATTGTCAACAGCCTCCATCTCCAACCCCTCTACCACTGAGACTTTCTTGAGGAGCTGTGCCTTTATTGCATCAATCTGCACCCATCGCCTTTCTTTCATCTCGACAGCCAACTGCCTGAACTGATCATGCTGGCAGTAGAAAAGGACAAAAGACGGAATGAAAATAATGCCCCGTAACACTTGAACAAAATCATAGGGCAAAGCAGAACGACAACAATACATTCATCGCAAACTCCGTCCAAAGCTGCAAAGAGACATTGTCATGTGAAGTTATTGTAGGGTGTAAATAGTTGTTCGCTTTCTGATCAGGCCATGGTAGAATTACTTGGAATGAAATGGAGGTCTGGATGGCTGAAAAGGCCCACACAGTTGAGGTCTCAGGACCCTGTGATTAGGTAAGTAGTCCTCAGGACCCTTTGATTAGGTAAGTAGTCCTTCCATTTTGATTTGTTTCGCTCGGAATTCTGTGTCCGGGCGCTCTTGGCTTGCTGTTGAATAATTGCATGTCTCTCTGATAAGTTTTAAGTGTGCCCTTGAATGATGACATGCCTCTCTGACAAGTCCCCAGTCTATTTCTCGTGTCTCTGTACGAGCTCTGTGCACATGCTGTGGTTCTGTGCAGAAGGGTAGAACAATAAATAGCTCCATCAGCACATTCCAGTCCCCCAACTCCAGCCCCGAACTCCCACTGACAACTGTGGGGTTCCCGAGCGTCTTAGTTAACCGGATTGCTGCTGGTTTTTGCGATTGTGACGCCGGCGATTGTGACCCCGGTTAGCAATGGTGCTAACGTATCCCCACCCCAGGGAAAACCACCTCCAGCCAGTCACAATCATAGTGCAGCTCCACAGTGCATGTGCGAGTGCAAGAAGCCGAATTCTCCTAGTGCAGAAGGGCGTTTCCAACATTCCATGTGATTTCCAATTACAGAATTTATGCAGAAATGCCCTATCACGTGATGTACAGAGTAAGGTGCCCACAAGGGTGGAAGGGACAAAGGAACCCAGGATGATTCAGATGGAAAGACATCTAAGGAGCAATCCAGGCGAGGGAAGGCCCAATTTCCAATTAGGGAAATTGCTTGGAAGAGGCCTATGACGGAAATAAGGTGATGAAAGGAGCCGAGGAGAATCTAGGCGATCGGAGGAGATCGACAGGGAGGCCAACAAGCACAAGAGACTAAAACGTTTTTAGATGTGCACAAACGAAATCATGTCCAGGCATTGTGGCACAAGACCAACAACATGACAGAAGCAGTGAATGAGGACAAGAAATAGAAGCAGCAAAACATAAAATCAAGAAGACACCCACCAAAACAACGCCAGCGGAGAGTGTGAGTGGTGAGAACAAAACTTTCTGCAGATGAGACAGCAATATGGTAATAGAGAGAGACAAGCAGGTGCAGCCAGCGCAGCTCCACCCGCAAAAAAAGTCAGGAAGCAACACCAATGAAGAATCTCACACCGCTCTTTCTGTCTCTGACTCTATGTTTTCTTTGTTAGTGTATGGCTGGTGCTTTCTGTATCACTGYTTTAGCTCTTGGCGTCTTCTGTCTTTCTAAGTGTTTGTGGAAAGCAGAATAGTGAACAGCAATAGTCACAAACAGCAAGGTCATAGAAGGTCACAAACAGAATAGTAAACAGCAACGAATCTTCAATGATTCGAAGAACATTATCATCCGCACCGAGAAAGAGTAGAAAACAGCGTCAGAGCTCCCTGGAACTTCGGGAGCTCGCACCAGTCTGACAGTACATGCGGAGAAGAGCTAACC